GTATGATTAACATTCAAATGTTTTTCTCCTTTGGAGGCTATTTATAATATGATTGGAGTTTTCTGTTTTACAAGGAAATTTACTAACATCGCTGATTTTTTTTTTAATGGCTAATCATGTGACTGTCACCTTTTTTTTTAGAATTTATTTATTTATTTATTTATTTATTTATTTATTTATTTTGCATGCAACATTCTGCCCACCAGAAGAGGGCGCCAGATCTCATTGAAGGTGGTTGTGAGCCACCATGTGGTTGCTGGGAATTGAACTCAGGACCTCTGGAAGAGCAGTCAGTGCTCTTAACCTCTGAGCCATCTCTCCAGCCCAAACATCGCTGATTTTTTAAAAAATCTAATCCATTCAAAAGAAATTAGGCTGGACACGGTCATCTCTATGTCTTTAAATCCAGTATTTTGGGGTGGCACAAGCGGGGGTGGGGGGGGTGCTCAGAGTCAGGATGAATCAGAAACCAAAGACAGTCAGATTTAAAAACAGACCCTGTTTGGGGGTGAGGGGTTGGTGGGTATCCTACACAGGTCAGGAAAGGAGTAAGTACAACTTAATGATAACAAAAATAAATAAAAATTTAAAGCTGCACTTTAATTAGATCAACTTGTCTGACATGGTCATTGGAACCAATTATTGTAACCAAACAATGAAATGAACACTGGCTCCTTGAACCAAGAGGCTAGACAAGGCTGACTTGCCTCATCCAGTGGGAATCCACAGCACAGCAGGAAGGGTAGGTGGGAGTGCTGGAAAAAAGATTCAAGGACCTGGTCAGGAGCATATGACCAAATCATGTCTGCTTTGTTCAGGCTATAAACAGAACCAACACATTAAAAAAAAAAAAAAAAAAATATCATGGAAACTTAACTTTTCAGAGATTCTTGAAGATACTAGTTAAAAATGAAACCAATGGATTTTCAGAAGAGGAATAAAAAGGATTGAGTGTGAAAATCTACAGGGGAAAGATGACAAATTTAAAATGTTCACTGCTTCTAATTAAAGAAATGGAAATTGGAGACTCTCTAGGGAAGCCCATGGGGATTATATCCTCTATTTCTCCACATTCTTTTAATGCTGTGCTTAAATATATATTAAACCATTTTTTAATAAACTACAACGTGCGTTGCACACACACATTTGGAGATGGCTCAGAGGCTAAGAGCACTGGCTGTTCTTCCAGGGGTCCAGGATTCGATTCCCAGCACCCACATGGCAGCTCACAACTGTCTGTAACTCCAGTTCCAAGGGATCCGACATCCCCACACAGACATACTTGCAGGCACAACACAAATGCACATAAAATAATTAAAGCCAAAACTGACAACTACCATTTCATAATTATTCTAATTTAAAATGTGACAGAATTCAGTGTTGGGAAGGAACAGGGAAAGTATCTGTGATGTTCTGAATGAGAATGGCCCCCATAGGCTCATGTTTGAATACTTGGTCCCCACTTGGTGGGACTATTTGGGAAGGAGTAAGTGGTGTGGCCTTGTTGAAGGAAGTGTGTCACTGGAGATTTGAGATTTCAAAAGACTAGTGTCATTCAATGTGTGCTCTCTGCCTCCTATTGGGGTTCAAGGTGTGAGTCTCAGGTGGTGCCCCAGTCACCTGCTGCTACTTTCTATTCACTCCACCGTCATGAACTCTACCCCTTCTGAAACCATAAGCCCCAAAGAAACTCTTCTACAAATGGCCTTGGTCACGGTGTCTCATCACAGCAATAGAGAAAAGTAAATAAGACACTGGCAACCACACAAATGTGAATTTCAGTCTTTTCATCATGAAATTTTCACAATTAATAATCTATAAAGAATTCAAAAGAAAAAAACCTATATGCACAAAAATTCTTAATTGAACTATTTCTTAAAATGGAATTTTAGCCAGGCACACGCCTTTAATCCCAGCACTTGGGAGGCAGAGGCAGGCGGATCTCTGTAAATTCGAGACCAGCCTGGTCTCCAGAGCGAGTGCCAGGATAGGCTCCAAAGCTACACAGAGAAACAAAACAAAACAAAAACAAAAAAATAAAACCAACAGAATTTTTAAAAAAAGGTAAATCTAATGTCAAGTAGCTAGGCAATTGCTTATTTATGGTTTAATGACAGCTTTTACAGCCATGGCAATGTTAAAAGAATTTGTTTAACAAACTGTACTCCCTAAGTATAATATGCTTTTAGGGAGTACAGTTGTAATAGTATAAGAATCACAGGATATTTATATGAAAATAAAATGGCCATTTAAAATCTAACATTATTAAAAATAAACCTAAAATCTTGTGCTTATTTTTTGAGATATTTATTTTTATTTTATGTGCATTAATGTTTTGCCTGCATGCATTTCTGTATACCATGTGTGCCTGGTATCCTTGGAGACCAGAAGAAGGCACTAGATTCCTTGGAGCTTGTTTACAGATAGTTGTAAACTGTCATGTAGGTGCTGGGACCTGTATCAAGATCTCTGCAAGGTAGACAGTGCTCTTAACCATTGAGCCATCTCTTCAGCAACAAATTTTGTCTTTAAAACATCTGATATATCTGGTACCATGTTTGATAACGCCTGGACTTACTTCACCAAAAATGGGTAACAATTACATTTTAGATACAATTCACAGAAATATTAACTTACAAGGATATGCAGGTATTTTCTATATCAGAGAATACAACATAGCTACTCTTGATGAATAAATGGCTTATGACAGCTTTTATAAAAATATGTGGACAATTTCAACATCCTCTATACCAACACAAAGTACTGGGCTTATTTCTATGAAATGCTTTCTGTTCTCATCTGTTTCATTAGCACAGCTCCACAGGAGACCACTGAAGCCCTGTTTCTGGAATGTTGCCCCAATTCTTCTCACCCAGGCCTTGTTGCCAGGGCTGCAGCTGCACAACCAATTCTTATTAAAATGGAGTCTTTGAAATGCTGGTCTATGGGAAAGGATATAAAGGATTTCATTATCTCTTCTCAAAACTCAGGGAGGGAGGACTGAGCTCCACCCTTCCCAAGGCACACAACCACTCAAGGTCCCTCCCTGCCAACTTAAACACCAAGACACCAAGACAAAGGCAGCAGCTCAGCTTTAGGACAATGCAAGAAATCATGACACAGCAGCGAACCTTAACATCTAGCAGGTTATTTTCAAATGAGTATAAAATGAGCTGTGTGGTCATGAGCCACAGACATGCTCAAACGGCTGTGACTTGAGGAACAACACTTCTAAAGAGTAAGCACTTGGGGAAAAGACTCAGCACTCTGTAATGACAACCAAGAATAATTTCACAAACAAAAATGGGAAAACTGAAAGGATTCACTCACTTTGCTATTGTACTGAGTGCCCAACAGCTGCTTGGAGGAGAATTTTATAGATGGGTTACTCTCCTCCATTTTCATTAGGAACACATACTGTTTGGCTCTCTCAATAAAATTCTTAACAACTGCTGGCCTTGCTCACAAGAGACAACTTATAAGTGAATTTATCTTATGAGAAACATTAATGTAAGTCTATAAAGATTAGTTATTTTCAACTGAATGTAAACAGATAAATACTCAAAGGCAAAGTGAAAACCAAGGCCAGATTTTTACTAAAAAGTATTTTCATATTGCATGCAGCATGAAGAACCTTAAAAAGCCAATGACTTTAGGGACAAAAATTTAGGCTGGAAACATTGCTTGGAGTATACTGTAATCTGTTCCCCCAGTGATGTACTTACAATGTAAAAAAGCAGGACAGGAGAGTGAGGGACACTCTCCCTTCAGGACTTGACTATACAACATGCACTTCGGCTCACAGAGACACGAGACCCACTTCTAAAAGCACACAATTACTGACATTTTATCCATCATAATCAAAACCGAATCAGTGAATTAAGTGTATTTAACACACATGGATATAAGAAATATGATTAAATGCAAGTTAAACAACTGATTTTCCTTCAATTCTTGCAGCTGTCAAGTTCTACATGAAATGTTCACTCTCAGTATTTGCAAAAGAATTATAAAATACTTTTGTGTTTTTTCTAATAGGCTTTGCCCTTAGTCAGTACATGCTATTTTATTTTTAAAAGCTTGATTCTAAAGTTTTAAGTTCCCCTTTATTTTATCGAACTGTATTTCTATTTAATGTAAAATATATAGCCAAAAGAATCTCTAGAACTCTTAAGTCCCCTGTCCCTGTCAGTGTTGATTGTGTGATGGGAAACACTAACCCTTTCTCTCAGGAGGGGTGTGTGCCCTCTAATCCTGAGACTATGATAGAAGGGGCTGTTATTCTTTGTTTTGAGTTTTTTTGAGACAGTGTTTCCCTGTAGCTTTGGATCCTATCCTGAAACTTGCCCTGTAGACTAAGTTGACAGAGATCTGCCTGCCTCTGCCTCCCAGATGCTGGGATTAAAGATATGTGCCATCACCGCCTGGCTGGGCTGTTATCTTTTACATGTGCCTCAACAATTCTCATTTTATTTTTTTATTTATTTATTGGATCACATGATGAAGAGAGGATAAATATGGTTCTGCTAGAGGAAAAATTTATGTTTTTGGTATTTTGTTGCTGTTTGTTTTTGTTTTGTTTGTTTATTTGCTTTTTTGAGACAGAGTCATTCTGTATAGTCCTGACTAGCCTGGAACTCACTATTCAGACCAGGTGGCCTATGCCTCCCAAGTGCTACAATCAAAGGCATGTGATACCACGCCCAGCTTCCACTAGCTTTTGAATGACTAGGGTTAGGCTACTAAAATGGCTTTGAAGAGTAGACAACCATTACTGATTGCTTTTATTGATAAAAAGTACTGTTTCTAACTGTAGGATGGCCATAACAAGACAAAGAATCGCCATGACCATCACACAGGCAATGGAAAGGCTGTGCTTAACTTGAAGCCATACTCTGGACTCTGACAAAATGAACTTACTATTGGTGAGTGCCAATGACACAAAGACTATTTTTGTGGCAATCACTTTGCTATCTAGCCATCAGTGACCACAGACTTACCACTCATCAATGGGGCACTTATTCAGCTGTCTCTGAGTGCAGACTATTCCATAAGACACACACAGGTGACTCTGCAGACTCAGTAACAGTAGAAGTTGTCCCTGAAGATTTCTTCTCATTTAGTCAGTTGTCCCTGAAGATTTCTTCTCATTTAGTCTCCCCCTTCACTCAAAACTGGCCCTATCTGCAAATAAAAGCATGCAATTAGGAGGCAAAAGTGGCAGGGAGCAATTCCTCCCTCTATATAATTAAATGATACAACATGAAAACTAAACTCAAATGCTAGACTCACTAAGCACCATGTTTAAATAAACAACCTACTTTTCATGCCTGTAACATGCTTATTACTCAAAGTTACCACCCCTTTTTATCATATAAATTGATTGTTGGTGCCACAGTATGCAAGGTACAACTTATACCAAAGTTGGCCCACTGAGCAAAATCCAGGAAACAAATGTTTGGTGGACATACACAAGGTTGGCTTATATACTATGTTAAAGAACATCTTCCTGCATTGACAAATCTGAAGACTTCACAAGAAAAATTCAGATTTCTGCTCTCTTGAAAAATATAATCAGACAACATGAGGCCTGCTCCTACATGGAGCACTATCAGATTGGATTAACAGCCAACTCCCGATGGGCATGGGCTTTGTGTTTCTCCACAGATGCTGCCACTCTCTCACTGTAACCTAGTTCACAATTACCTGTCTGGATCCGATAAGTATCTGAGCTTTCAAACTCTGGTATGTATTTTTAATAGCTCACAGGTAACATTGTATTATTGTCAAAGTCAAACATGTTTTCCTGACTTGGGATATAAAATAGCATGAGATAAACACATGAGGTTTGAGTCAGAAAGCTGTAGATTTGAGTTCTAATTCTAAATATCAATAGTTGTATGACCAAGCCTATATCAAATCTATTTCTTCTCATAGAAACATCCAAATAAGCACATAAACACTTAACACACTAAACAACAGGCCTAAAATCTAGCATGCCCAAGCTCAATTGGTCCACACTGTAATTCATGTCATCACTATTCGATGTCTTCACCCCCTAAAAGCCCTGCCAGGACAAATCATTCTCTTCCAATTCTAGCCATTCAAACAAACAGCAATTCCTCCCCTAAGCATCAGCTGCTTTGCTGAAATTGTCTGTATATTCAACTGTTTAAATTGTGATAGACTTGGGATGTACCTCAATTGGTACAGTGCTTGCCTTGCATGAGCAAGGCCCCAGGCTTAATCCTTAGCACCAGAAACACAGCAAAGATTGGAACAACTAGACTGGAAAATGTTGATGCATGCCTTTAATCGCAGCACTCAGGAGGCAGAGGCAGGCGGATTTCTGTGAGTTCAAAGTCAGTCTGGTCTACAGGACAGCTAGGGCTGTTGCACAGAAACCCTGACTCACAAAACAAAAAAGATCGGAACAACTAATTGTGTCTTCCAAATGGTGTTGGTACAAACTGAAATACATAGTCATTGTTTTGTTTTAATTTTGTAATTGCTTTAACACACACACACACACACACACACACACACACACACACACACACACACACAGTGTCATACAATGCAGCTATTGCATTCCTAAGTATTTATCTAAAAAAAGCAAAAGTGTACACCTGTAAAACTATTTATAGCAATCTATTTGTAGCAGATGATAAAATAAGCAGAAAGCCACTGGCCTGAGTCTGTCTCTATACTTTTGAGTGCCTACACTTTGAAATATGTTTAAGTTGTATAGTACTTGGGTCTGGTTAATTTTGGCATGTGATGTTTTTATTTATTTGCAAGTTTTTTAATAACTATGTTTATAAAATTAAATTTTTGAAATGAAATACAACCTAACTCACTATGTAAACAAACAGAAAACCAACTGATTGGTATAACAAACAGCTGAGTCTCAGCTAATCACAGGCAGCCAAATTTCAGGCAAGCACAGGCTGCCAAAAGAAAAGACCACACCCAAAAAAGATAGAGAAAGAGATGAACCTTACTTTACTTCCCTTTTCTGTTTAAAACTACTCAATGCCCAATAAGACAAAATTCTCTGGACTTTTTATGAGTATTGTCTAATTCATAAAAATCATTCTTGCTGGGCATTGGTGGCGCACGCCTTTAATCCCAGCACTCGGGAGGCAGAGGCAGGCGGCCCTCTGTGAGTTCGAGCCCAGCCTGGTCTCCAGAGCAAGTGCCAGGATAGGCTCCAAAGCTACAGAGAGAAACCCTGTCTCAAAAAAAAAAAAAAAAAAACCTCAAATTCTGCTTTATTTAAATTGCCTAATTTCTTTTTCTTATTTAACAGCAAAAAACAGGCAACAACTTCAATTTCCTGTAGATAGGTGAATGGATAGACAGGAGTATACCTTATTCAGGCAGGTATTTGCAGCTATGTACCATATGTGTAACTATGAATGCAACCCAAATCAAAATTGTAAACTGACTTTAAAACAGTGTGAGACACTGTATGTGTGTGTGTAATAAGTAACTGAGACACTGTATGTGTGTGTGTAATAAGTAACTGAGCTACCTGTTTCTCAAGGACAAACATAAAACTAGGTTGAACATGCCTGATTGCAATAATGAATGAAGGGGCTGTGGAGACGGCTCAGTAGGTGAAATGCTTGCCATATTAAGAATGGAGATCTGAATATGGGTGCCCAGCACAAACATAAAGAGTTGGATGCAGGGGCACACATCTGTGACCCCAGTGATGAGGGGGCCAAGACAGGTAGATTCTGGGGATTTGCTAGTCAGCCAGTATATCCAAAAGGCCAACCTCCAGG